ACGGACAGCGAGGAAGCTCCCGCGGCAGCAGTTCCCGCAGCAGAGGCTCCACAAGCAGCATCCCCACAAGCAGCAGCTCCCGCGGGAGCAGCTCCCGCGGCAGCCGCTCCCGCGTCAGCAGCCCCAGCAGCAGCCCCAGGAGCAGCAACGCTACCGCCGCCGCCATTGCGCGCTCCAGATCACCAAAGAGAAGCTCCCGCACCAGCGCCAGGTCTGGGCGCCGCGCCGTTGCCCCCCCCAAAGAGCAGCTCCCGCGCGCGCAGTTTCAAACGAAACACCAGCAACACCCCCAGGAGCAGCACCACCAGCGAGGCAGCTCTCCAAAGAGCAGCCCCCGCAGCACCAGCTCCAGAAGCAGCCCTGACCGCCGCCCCAGGAGCAGCGGCAACGCCGCGGCGAGATCCAGCTCCAGCTGCAGCCCAGCGCGCAACCAGCAGCGCCCTCAGGTCAGTTCCACCACGGTTTCGCTCCAGGCGGAGGTCGCCTCCCCGAGTGGGCCTCCACGGCGGACCTCCAGCAGCATCTGCTGGCGTTATCGAAAGCCGCTGCCCAAGGGGCGAGACCGCGCGCCATGGCCGCAGCGGCGGCCGCAGCGGCGAATGCCGATGGGTCATTGAGGGCGCGCGCCGACCTCGAGGCAAAGCCTCCGCCCTGGCAGGGCGAGCAGTGGCCGCCGCCAGGCAACTCCTGGCAGCCCGCAGCCCAGCAGCTCTGGTACGACTGGCCGCCTGCGGGGGGCCCTCCACCGCTGCAGATGGCCCGGGAGCAGGGGGCGCAGTCCTCGGGGGGAATGCTCGGACCTGTCGGCTACGCGGTGCAAGCACCGACGCAGGCCGCAGTGGCGGCCTCCAACCAGATGCCCGACGTCGCTGCGACCTTGGCGCACATGGAACCCCGCGCGGAACGAATGGAGGAGAAGCACGAGCAGCGCATGAAGGAGGTCAAGGAAGAAGCCCTGGCGGAAACCAACAGCCTGAAGGCGGAGGCAAAGGGGCTGAGGGAGGCACTCGCGCGGTCGCGGGAGGCAGATCGGCGCGCAATCGAGTGGAACGGCGGCGGGGTCTGGCGCGGCGGGCGCGACCAGTGAATCAGGGCGGCTGGGGAGGCTGCAGCGGCGGCCCACTTGCTCGCGCGGCGCGCGCGCGGCAGGGCGACCGCGCGGCGCATATGGACCCCAACGTCGTCAGCTACAGCGTTGGGAGCAGCGAGCGGGAGCAATATGGACAGTGGGAGCAACATGGACAGCGGGAGCAATATGGACAGTGGGGGTCAGAACGGCAGTGGCAGCAGCGAGCAGAGCCGGAGGCGAAGCTCGAGTCCAATGCCATCAGCTACAACGACGAGGTTGCGTGGCGCGACGCGAAGGTCGAGCCCGACGTCATCAGCTACAGACCAGAGGACGGTGCATGCGAGAAGTCTTGGATGGCGGCAGTGGCAGCGACGAAGCACGAGCCCAATGTCATCAGCTACAACGACGGTGCATGCGAGAAGTCTTGGATGGGGGCACTGGCGGAGCCGACGTTCGAGTCCAGCGCCATCAGCTACAACGGCAAGGCTGTATC